AAAAAAAACAGATGTTTGCATACATTCCCATAAAACGTAGTAAACAACTTGTTCGCGGTTAATGAGATTGTAAGAAAATCTCATTGTTTATCCAGCCACTACGTGACTGACTCCTTCGCAAAACAGCGTGTTTTATCATCGTCTATTGTCACGCATTTTGTATCCATGCCACATAACACAAGCATAAATTATCAGCGTAAAGAAGTTATCTTCAGGCAGATGCTATCACCGCTTAAGCAAAAAAGATAACGCCTATCTCATGTTTTGTCAAGTAGTCAGTCTAAATAGACCAAATATGTATAATTTTCTTTATCAAATAACTCAAAACTGAAACTAATTATACTTAACTGTTTTTCATTTCATTACAGTTGTTTGTCGCAATTGGACTCACAATTTGAAGCAGCGCTTTTTCGGAATAAATTAGCAAATTTATTTTTGAACTGTGATATATTAACACGTGTAAAGCAGAAATTGTAATATTCTCACACATACAATTATCGACACCCTCTTCTTAAAGAAATTTAAAATACCAACAAACACGCCAAAAGATGTCACAAAATCAGTCATACTTTTGGCAAACCACCAAACATAATGTTTATCTCAAACGTTCGGCCAGATTGCAAATGCTCATAGCATTAATGGCCGTATTGACATTCTCCACCATATGTCAGGCGGAGGTAGCACGCAGAGAAATAGATGAAAGTGTTGCAACACTAGGTGTACCAAGCGTAAGTGCAACAAAATCAGCAATAAATAATTACGAAATCCACTAATAATCAATGCTCATCTCTTTCTATAGGCCTTCCCCGATGACACACAGTTTATGAAAGATGCCGTAAATGGAAATGCAGACAATGAATTGAATGAAAGTGATGCCACCAAGGAAACTAAAACTAATTCCGGTTTTATCGATGCGTTCTCCGCATCGATATCAGTAATATTATTTACTGAATTAGGTGATAAGACTTTCTTCATTGCTGCCATAATGGCGATGCGCCATCCGCGCCTAATCGTCTTTGCTGGCGCCATATCAGCGCTGGCGCTGATGACCGTACTCTCGGTGGTGTTCGGCATGGCAGCTACCATTATTCCTAAGATTTATACATACTACATTTCAACGGCGTTGTTTGCCATATTCGGCTTGAAAATGATCTATGAAGGTTATTTCATGAAGGACAGCGATGCGCAGGAGGAATTTGAGGAGGTGCAATCGACTTTGCGTAAACGTGAAGATGAGGTAAGTCAGTGGGGTTGTAGTGAAAAAGTGAAATGAAAATGTAAAAACAAAAGGCAGTGCCTGTAGTTACTATTTAAACACCATTTCAAATTTGTTTTTAGCTAGCTTTTAGCTTGGCCCATTTTTCTTTAAATTACTTTTAGTTAATTACCCTTGGACTATGTACATATTGACATATTTGTTTTTGTTTTTTGTTTGTAAACTTCCTTTGCATTCAATTTCATTTAATATATATTATTATTTTTGCCTGAAAATTCAAAAAATAAAATAAAATAGACCAAATNAGTGCCTGTAGTTACTATTTAAACACCATTTCAAATTTGTTTTTAGCTAGTTTTTAGCTTTGCCCATTTTTCTTTGAATTACTTTTAGTTAATTACCCTTGGACTATGTACATATTTACATATTTGTTTTTGTTTTTTGTTTGTAAACTTCCTTTGCATTCAATTTCATTTAATATATAGTATTATTTTTGCCTGAAAATTGAAAAAAAATAGACCAAACGAAATGCAAAAACTATCTTTATTAGTTAACAAAACTACGATCACTTCATCATTCAGCGCATGAAGCACACACCATACAAACCCTTAAGAGCCTATCAAACGTGGCAATGCAATATCTTTCGAAAAGGCTGTCAAATTAAGAAATTTCAGAAAGCAGTTGCATGGGCAGTCACACCTTGAATGTAAAGCGTCTTTCGAAAGAGGTTTTTTTTTATTTCCGAAAGGCGAAAGCAAGTTGAAATATATTTCCGAAATCGATTTGCGCTCTCTCAATTGCAGTATAATCTTGCAACTTTTATTTCAGAAATTGATTTCCGAAATGTGATAGAAAGGTCNTCACACCTTGAATGTAAAGCGTCTTTCGAAAGAGGTTTTTTTTTATTTCCGAAAGGCGAAAGCAAGTTATATATTTTCCAAATCGATTTGCGCTCTCTCAACTGCAGTCACATCTTGCAACTTTTATTTCAGAAAATGATTTCCGAAATGTGATAGAAAGGTATTTCTGGCTGTTCACACATCAAAATAAAATTTCTCTTTCTCAATCTGACAGCGAATTGCGTGGAAAAGTTGGAAATATTGCCACGTCTGACACGCTCTTTACATATGGACATATATACATTTGGGCAGACGTAGAAAAGCGCATATTGCGCACAATTATTAACAAATATTATTTATTTAACTTATGTATACACAGAAAGTAAAACAGATATATGTACATATAGATGTATACATACATACAAATGTATGTATTTGCACTCTTATCGATGGGCAACAACAATGCTGAGTTAATAAAAGATTTTATCATTTACGCTGTAAAAAAACATTAGTTAGCTTTTGCACTGGGATAGAAAAATGTCATAAAATGGATTCTATATTATTTCATCAACAAAAAAAGCTGTAAATAATAAGGCTTAATTTTCGAATCCCTGTTCACTTAATTATGGCTTCATTTCAAATCAATATTCTCTCATTTGAGTTCATAAGTTCAAACGTAGTAAAAAGTAAAAAGATTTGGTCCTTTAAAACTGATAAATGCATCTCTTCCTAATGTTTATATGACATTCGAAATAAAAAAAAGAAGTTATCTCAACTTAACAAAACTTATGTTACTTATTTAAGCATTGCTTCAAAAACTAAGCCATTAATTTTTCTTAAAAAAAGGCAATACTATTTTCTTGTTTACCATACCAGGGGCTGCATAGTTTTCATTCAAATTCAGATTCATAATTTTTTTTTAAATATTTGAAAGAATTGTGTGTTTAACCTCCTCCGGGTAAAGCAAGGGTTTAAACAGGGACATGACTATGGAAAAGAACCGCCGGCGGTCACCGCGTTTTTGTATTTTCAGTAGTAACGCAAAATAATGTTTAGAATACGTAAAAAAATATTTCACGGGCCGGCACCCTAAACAAGTTAAATTCAAAGGAAATCAATTATTGGATATTATGTTATTAGTTTTAAAGCATTTACAACTGTTGGCAAAAGTATTACTGCAAATGCATTTTAAAGTAGCCTTACATAGCTTCAAAACGTAGTATATTATTTGCTTTGTTCCTGTGAACAGGCTTTTCACTGCATTCCTTTCTCCTTTCTGTTTTGTATTGAGTGGTACAAATAGAAGGGCTTCTGCTTTCGCTGCCCACAGAAGGGCTTCCGAAGGGATTTTGTAGGATGTACTTCAGAAAACCATTTGGNGATGGGATCTTGGTCAATCGCAATCAAAGTGAGGTATCTGCATCGGGCGCAATGTGAAAGATGTAGTTTATTATAGATACATAGGTCAAACCATTTCGAATAATTATCATTCTAATAAACACCCTGTTAACTTGGGAACTCAACCATAGTTACCCCACTCTTACACAAGTGTACACCGAATTATCTGAGTGGTCGGCAATCGGCAGTATTTTTCGAGTTTTGTAGCTGGAGACTGGTAGGGCGCAGTGGGAAAAGCAACAGACAGAAAAAATAAAAATAAAATATTTGACACACACACACATTTTTGTTAAGCATTTAGCCGAGTCTCCTTCAATTTGTAGCGTGGGTCTTGATGTTTTGCGGTAAATGATTTTATTACTCAACGTATGTTCTGCAATGTGAAGTTTCGCAGCACATGCGCGGTGCGAATCCATTCAATTAAAAGTTCTTAGGTTACAACTGAAAAGTGTTACAGCACCCGTCAATTTGAGGTCTTCAAGGGATTCAGTCGCCTTCTCATCGGGTTTTATGTTACACATTCACTTGCTATAAGCTGCCAATTAGTAATATTAAAACATAAATAAATCCAAAATTTCAGGTTTCATAGAGCAATATTCGTTACACTGGGTACACACTACTATATTTTAATCAAACTTTGTGACTAATCGCACGTTCATTTGGCTTCAATTTGCGCGCCACTCTGCAAAAGTACCACACATATCTGCCTTATCAATGTACTTACCTTTACAGTTAATCCATAATTTAAATATTTCTTTAATTTATAAACTTGATTTTGCAGCCGTCAGTAAATAGCAACAAAAAAATATCAAAAATTCAAGCGAAAATTCTTTTCCAACTAACGAAATTCATAAGCCCAAAAACTGCTTTATAACAACAATTTTAATGATAAGCAGAAATCAGAAATGTTACGGATTGTTTTAATATGTATTTTTCTTTGATATTTTTCTCTCTTTTTTCGATACGGATGCATTTTGTTGCACGAATTCTTTAATGAAAATGAATAATAAATAAAAAAAATTACGATATCATAATAATAATTTAATTATGCATAAATGTTGAAATTTAAACAACAACAAAAAAAACCGTTAACCACGCACGCAACATTGCAATGTTCGTTTATGCTACGCCTGCACCACACAGTTGATGCGTAAGAAGCACGGCAAATACGATGATGCCGATGCCAAGCGCAAAAACAGCAACTCAGACAAAGAAGATGAGGGTCTAGAGCGTGGCGCTGGCGTCACCACCACCATCAGCAGCGGCTGCACCCCCACCACCGCCACCACCATCGCTGTCGTCACACAAAACACAAATCCCGAAATGTCGCATCGACAACGCAAACACAATAATAATCATTTAAAAAATACTAATAATAAAAATGGCTGTGATGTTAACAAGGACGGCGCTGATTCGGACAATAGCAGTTGCCATGAAAACGATATCTTCCTAAATGGTGTGAATGGTGGTGTTGGTGTTGGTGTTGGTGTTGGTGATGTTACCATTATTGGTGGTGATAGCTTGAAAAGATCCAACTTCCATAGCAGTCCTGCACTGTCGGCGTCCGTGCTTTCGAATCAAACCGAACAAACGAATTGTGATGAATTTACTAATAGTCCAAATAAGCTTAATTTTAATTCCCAAAATGATAGCGGCAACGACGATAATGCTATTAATGGCATTGACGCTGACGTTGAAGATGATGATGATGATGATGTTGCGACCGTCGATAGTGGTCATGGTGGCACACCGATACATGGCAAACGTGGAAAACAACAACTCAAAAAATCAGGTAGTGTTGATAGATCAACAGCAATGGTGCATTCAGCATCCGCTTCGGCTGTCGTTATGTTGCACAACAACAACAATAAGCTTGGAATCATTACAGGCACCAGTAATAGTATAACTAGTTTGAATAGTCTCAACTTAAAATCAAACGGCAGCTTTGGCAGCGGCGGCGTAGTGACGGTTGTAGGCGGTGGCGTCGTCGGTGGACAGCCGAATGGCGAGTTGAAGCAACTCGGTGGAAGCAAGAAGCGGGTTAGAATTCATTACAAAATGCCATTCATTACTAAATAAACAAAAAAAAAAAAGAAAAGCAAGAATACAAAAACAAATATATCATTCTTAACCAGCCACACACACACACACACACACACAACACAACAATCACCAATAATCAATTGCATTTATTTGTACAAATCAGCAGTTACATCACCCCAAACATTCTCTCTTGTCACTGCAGCTCATTGTTGTGTTCATTTATCCTATAATATACTGCATATATGTATATTTCAATTGCTTTCGAATTTGTTTTGATCCATCAATCAGTCACCGCACCGTTAAACCCATTCCATTATGGTTTTTGCATAACACAACATATTTCGGTTTGTAACCTCATCCTTCGTTGCATTTTGAAACACTCACTGAAGTGAATTACAAATTTTTTGGTTAAGTTTATATTTTTATGCGTACTAAGAGTTTGTGTTTTTCATGTTTTAAACTTACTGCTTTACATATATGTATGTACGTACGTAAATCTGAAAACCAAAATTAACGTGTTATATCGCAGACAATCATTGGCTTCGTTGAAATGGTTTTTCTCATTCAGCGAAATTTGTATGCATTTTATGCAGTACTTTTTTTGTTGGCATTTGCATGCAAAGTTATTGGTGCATGAAATTTTTTTGTGGTATTTGCATGCAAAGTTATTGGTATATGATTTTTTTTGTGGCATTTGCATGCGAAGCCTTATGAATAAGAACCAAGCAATTGCTTTTTCTTAAAATTTTTGACCTTTTACTCAATTTATTGAAATATATTCAAGTAAGAGCAATTGCTTATGGTGATTTCGTTTCTTCCGAAAAATGTTGCCCTTCCCCGGTGTAAAATATGTTTTATGTTACACTCAACCATGTAAAAAGGCATGTCTTTGCCTCCTTGCCATTGTCTAGATCGCGCATTTCCTAATATTTTCGTTTTAAACAACCATCTGATTTTCAGGGCAACCATCTCCTCTTACAAAGGGCAGAGAATGTGCCTTTTTTGCCTTACAAGAGTGTGACATTTTAAGAAACGAAAAGAGAAAGGGGCAATCAAAAGGCGACATTTTTTGGTAGAAACGAAACAACCATTCGTTTTTAGTCGTACGGCCCATTGGCTCATGAAAGTTTTAAAAAAGGGATGCCATCTACATAAAATGCACACGTACATACATAAATGCCATTCATTTCAAAGTAAAATATTTCAATTTAGAATGTAAGTTGATTTGCAAATTATTTAAAATTGAATCATAGTCAAAAAAATTTGGCTGGAAAGAACAAATGGAGAGTTCAGTTAAATAATGTTTTGAAATTTGACAGAAAACCGACCAAACGTCTAAAATCTGTTTTTTGCCGTTAGTCAATTATTCTTCTATTATTTGTCTTTATTTTCCTAACCTTAAAAAACCTATATTTATAAAAAAATTTGAGGTTGGAAGTGACAACTTTTAAATTGTGGTTCCTGATTCCGATTCAATGGCCAAAAGTCTATCGGGTACCGATTTCAAACCTTACGATTTACTATTCTCGACAGGCAATTTGTAATACAAAATTGAATAAAACCGAAAATAGCGAGGTGCATAGGTACGTGATTAAAAGCTTCCTTCGGAGGTGTTTCCTAGTCATGTATATAAAAGTACCATTCGTAAATTTCGGATCCAAAAAATTAAAAGTTTTTGGATATTTTTCCCCATTTTTGATTGGAAGGTATTTTTTAAGATTTCTCGCTCCACCCGAATAGTTACTTTTTCCTTTGAAAACCAAGTATGTATACGTGACATTCCGGGTTCAGCTTTTTGCCTTCACAACATTCTAGAGTATCAACTAAAAGAAACCTTTAAAATAATAATCCAAACAACAAGATTTATAAATCGAAATGTTAATGTTGCCTATGCGCAGCATCGGTCCTCAAAGGGTTAATAAAAACACTGAAAATCGGGATTTAATCGGTACAAATATGAAAAATCGGGACAATTTTCTCAAAATTGGTACTGTCCCGCCAAAATCAGTGCGAACGGTGGTCACCGTACGTGTAGTTAACTTTATTTCCTGTCCATACATGCATCATAAAAAAAACATTGAATTTACCAATCGATTACGCGTAAGTGAAAAATCGCAGCATAGTACTTCCTATTGCAATTATGTACAGAATTTCTTGCTATACAATGTGGTATTTTAATCTCTTTGATGAATGTATTTGAATTGACGCCGTCGAAACAAAATTTGCAAATTTTCTAAGCTTAAACCGTTTTGTCATTTGAGGTGATTTTTTCATAAACCACCTTTAAGAAACTATTTTTGTTCATAAAAAATAATAATAATTTTTTTCCGAAATATTTTGGCTGGCGTCTTAAAATATAATAGATTGTATAATTCCAATGGAAAAGCAGTACAGATTTTTTTGTATGGGGAGTGATGCAGTCTAATTTACATATATATATCAAACTGAAAATTGACTTTATTAGGAATATAGTCTTATGCCATTAGTGTTTGAATATAATTTCGATGATGTGAGCACCGTAGCTAGTTCAGATGTGGCACATTTTGAAAGTCAAATTTTCGACGACTTTTTCAATGAAAGATACGGTCCCCATCTCGGCAACGCTTCGCACAATGTTGTCAAGGCCTCCAAGGTTTCATGTAACATGTGAGAAAATTATTTAGAGGCAGAAATGGCAAACTGAATTGAGCACAATTGATAATGGCGTTGCCAGATTTTACCCATTTGTGACCGTTTAACTTCAATCGGAAAACGCAATCTCTTATAAAACAGCCGATTTAGCGGAACCATTTCTCAAAGCTATTGATGAGAGTTAATATCGTACGTAAATAATGGGCAAAAAGATCTTAGCCGAAACCGTAAAAGTTTCATTAACAGCGGCCAAACCCGCATTGGTTGTACTGTCTATTGACAAGAGAAAAATTCGATCAAAGCGATTCAATACAAAGGGCCCAAATTAATCAACAAAATGGCGCCTTCCTCCATTACGATATGGCTAAACCACACATATCTTTATTGATTCGGGAACAATTTACTGATGCTTTGCGTCGTCCGTATAGTCCGTTTATTGCCTAGCCAACTATCATTTCAGTTTCTGCATGGATCTCAAAATGGTGCAAAGCTTTAAAGAACTTTAAATTCACCACGATCTCTTTGGACAGTATTTCGCCTGGAAATACCTAGAAGGTCTATGGTGTCGGAACCATGGTTTTACTTATCCACTTATCTATTACAAAAAGCAAAACTTATTACAAAAAAAAAACAAAACTTCATCTTACTTATTTAGCTTGAGGGCGTTTTTGTTTATGAAAATTTTGTAGAAAAACAACATTAATTTACATTTTGGCAGAAGTTATAGCTGCTATTTCGGAAAACCAAGATTATTGAGATACTTGTGCGTTCTATCACATATTTACTTTTTATATGTGCATATAAAACACGTTAAATTAAAAATAGTATTTTGAAAAATTCATTTCTTAATTTTTGGCATTCCGTATGCAATTTTACTTTTTGTAAAGAAAAAATTTTCTAACTTCTCATTTAAAAAAAACAACCAAACCAGAGAAAAAACTAAACAACCAAATTAGAATAAATAAAAGAAAAACAACCAAGTTTGGTTGGAAACAACCAACAGTGGCAATCGTTACTAGAGTGACTTTTTTGGGTAACTATTAACAGGAAAATTGTCGCCACTGTCTTTCCACTCACCACAGTCTTTCGTAAGACAATTGTCAATCTTAGCAACAATTTTGAAAGCTCTTTTCTGTCTTTCGAAAGATTAATTGAAAGATTTGCTAGCGAGGAGGTATTAGCATTATTCTGTTTGTCTCTTAGCAATACGTTTTCAAAAATTAGCAATAAAAGAAAAACTTTAAACATGGTGGAACAGTTAAGTTTACATAATTAAAATTATTTAAAGTTTATTTTATTTAAAATATTAGAAAATATTTTTCTTTTAAAGTAATAAAAACTGAAAATGAGCGGAAAAACTAAATGAAAAGAATCAAAAAATTTATACAAAAAGAAAGAAAAACTTAATTAGAAAAAGAAAAAAATTTTATTCAAAAACGGAAAAAAATCAATTAAGAAAGAAAAAAATAATTAATTAACAAAAACTTAAAATTGCATTAAAAACAGCAAAAAGAAAATAATTTGCAAAAAATTAAAAATCCGCTGGATTCCAACCTAGGACCCCTCGAATGCCACGCCAGTACTTTGCTCACTTGGCCATTGCAACTGTTGGAGCAGTGCAATCAAAATGATATACAGTGGTGGTCGCACTATTTATTTATATGTAAGTTTTGACCATTTATATTTTCTTTAATTATTTTTAATTTATTTCTTACAAAAATATAGTTTATACTACAAAGAAAACCATGCAACACAGAGTCGAAGCTTATATATTATTTATAAAGGTGCGCCAAATATCATAAAATGGTCATCAANAAGCAAAAAGAAAATAATTTGCAAAAAATTAAAAATCCGCTGCCCGAGGATTCCAACCAAATATAGTTTATACTACAAAGAAAACCATGCAACACAGAGTCGAACCTTATATATTATTTATAAAGGTGCGCCAAATATCATAAAATGGTCATCAAAGTTTCAAACTTTTTATTTAGAATTTCTAGTAAAAATGTCGTTATATAGCCCACTCAAATTTAGTTTAATATTGTTCAATTGTTAAGCGGCTAAATATTCGCATTGATTTTTTTTTTAAGTGTTTTTTGCTGGCGGTGTTACGCATTTTCGTCCATACAAAGTACTTATGTTCGAATATTTTTTTTATGTGTGAGAGAATGAGCAACACAAACAGCAAAAAATGGTATTTTCTGTTATATCCCCCAAACAAAATAGTAGTAGGTATAATAATATTGCCCCAAAAATGCTTTATACAGTCACTACAACTGAAAGTACCATGTAGGTGGCTGGTGTATAAAGAAAGAAACAAAAAAATATATAAAAAATCAACGCTAATTCTTATATTATATACATAC